GTATTAAAAGATGCTGGACTTCTAAGACGTAGACTCTTGGACCCATGTTCAACAATCCTTGTAGATAACCGTCTTTCGTTTATGCCAACCTACTTACTACGACATGCACATCTGAATTCATAAACTTAGTTGAAGTTAACCAAAGCCGGAATTTGGTTTAGTTTGGACTGTGTAATCGAAAATGTTGTTTCATAGGAGAGGACCAGTATAGTCGCTAGGTATGTCGTTGATACTGAGTCTTTTATTCGCCCGGTAAAATTCCTTCTCCGATTTCATCACCTGTGAATTCTAACTAAAGGGACACTGGTTTCTTCTCTATAATACTATACTCTGCCTTCTTCATGTCACATTTACTGTACTTCTCTACCAATATTTTAGGATATCCATTGTTATTTAAGCATTCATTGATGAGATTGATTTCATTTCTTCATTTCCATTTCTTCAGCGCAAAGCTTTTCTGGTTTTTGGTATAGCGTTCTAACCAAACATGTCTTGTAGCCAACAGGACATGAGCTGCTGAAATTTAAGTATTGATCACTCAAGGTTGTTTTGTGGTCAGTGTGCCTTTTCATTGTTCCGTCTTCTTTTCTCTTTAAGCATAAGTTAAGAAAGTGTAGTTGATTACTGACAACCTGATCCATAATAAACTTGATGTTTGAATGGATAATGTTGAACTTCTGTTGCAGTAATTCTGCATAATGAGTATAATTACACAGAAAAAAATCTATTATTTACCTGTTCTGAATAAAGCGTGCTTGCTGTGACTGAAAATTTCAAGGTAGTATTTTTAAGATAGGACATGAAGATATCAACCATTACTGAGCCCAAGGGAGTCTCCACCACCACTGCATCCATTTATCAATATAACACGTTAAATTCAAATTGCGTATCATTGGTGCACAGCAGCACGAGACTCCTCATACTGTGGTGAGAGTTGGCTGTTAGCCAAAGTTGGTAGACAGTAATTTACGTTGATGTTTATGTCCCCAATATTGCTCGTGAGAAAAATGAGAACAAAGGCTTTGCGCAGGAGGAAACAGTTAACATATAGATGATCTGACATTTAAGAAACAACCACAAAGTGATGAAAGGTTAACTTTCCATGAGAAACAACCAATCAGAATACTGTGTATATCTGCTAACAACAATCTAATATATATATACATGAAAATCTATAAATATGTGTTGATTTCCTTAATAAAATAAAGGATCTGTTTCCTGGCCCTTGTCTTCTGTTGTTCCAATATCAGCCGCCGGTAATAGGATATCTTCTATGTAATGACAGATATTATTCATTGTTTCCTGTAGGTGAATGCTCGTAAACAGGGGCTGTATTTCATAGGATGTCATAAATTTGTTGAAAATATTAACTTGTGGTATTCTTTTCACAAAATCAAATGAGTCTGTTAAGATACACAACGATACCTTGTTCCAAACACATTCCAGCTTTCGTAATAAACGACGAGAAATTTTGCGGTAAGGGGTATGTTTTCCTTAAGTATTTCTGGTGTTCCATACAGAAAAAGTAAGCGGGATCCTTTGGGTTAGAGTTCGTTGTACGTTTCATTGTCCATCAGTTTCTTTTTTAGGAGTTCCCTGAGCCCTCTCTCCTGATTTGTCTGTCGACAGTCTCCGTCATTTCTTTGTTTCAATCGTCCTTTCTAAATCGTGAAGTGTCGTCAAGTACTCAACTCATCTTGGAAATGTAGTCTTCTGTATTCATTATGATCATCCCTGAACCCTCGTCGGGTAGGAGAGTAACAAGGTTTTTGTTGCTGCCTAATTGTCATAATGTTGATTGATGTTCTTGAAAGAGAAGTTTAGATTCAGAAAGCTCAGAAAAATAGCAGTGGTTAGCAATATCCACCAATTTGTGCTTTAACTTTTGCGTCGGTGGCATAGCGGTTAGGACGCTCGCCGACCATGCACATGGTCTGAGGTTCGATTCCCGGCCGACGAACACCTGATATCTATGGTTGGCCTGCAACATTTGGCCTACCGATATCCATGCTGAAAGTTTCATACTTGTAACAAAAATACAGTGTGGAGTCAAGCTGTAATCAAAAAAAAAATATTAAAAAAAATAACATAAATTATCTTCCTCAGTAGGTTGTCGATGAGCAAATTGATGAAATAAATTCTTAAACTGAATCTTTGGGTCTATTCTAGTAAAGTTTTTCTCTGAAATGTGAAACCGAAGTCCAGGAGAAAGAGATTCTCTTTGAAGCTGACTTAGTTGAATGTTTGATCTATTTTGTAAACACAAATCCTGGGTTCCACTGTCAATCACCTTGCAGAGATCTAACAGAGATTACTATCAAATAGTCCACATATCAATAAAATCGATCCTTTCACTTCAGTAAATGAAAAATACGTAAAGCAAGTAGACTAAATCTGTCCTTCTGTTTTTTTCTTATAATCTGACCACTCTGGTATCATGTGATAACAATAATACCATGCCTGCAAAAAAAGTGAAATCAAAACACCTAGACTGGTGTAAAAAGCATTACATTTTGTCTGAATAAATTTTCACTATGTAGTTTTAGTGACTTTCATCACAAATCAGTATTCACAAGTAAATGCTTCATCGCTTCAAAAACTCAGTGTAAATTAGGGTTTCAGTAATAATAATAATAACGCCAAGGACTCTGTAAGCTACATTAACGAAATCTACTTGTCAGTGCTGGAATCCAGTAGCTTACACTGCCCATCATTTATGTGAATTGGCCGTATAAATGGTGTCCTGAATTCCACCACAACAGGGAATAAGAATTAGCCTCACCCGGTTTACTAGTTGGTCCTAAGCCTAGAAAACAGGGAAGATTAGGAGTAGGACCAGTGTAAAAAAACTACTGAATCGCTACTGAAACTTTAAAGTACAATAAGAAAAATGAACCTATTCTTATCTGGAATCGGGAGGGGAGAAGCAAATGACTCTTGTTGGTGATAGTCTACAGGAAGCCAGATGACTAATGTTTTTTTCTTTCGATGATGGAGAAACTAAGCTAAGCATAAGGATATAAAACGTCCATGCCACGTCTTAAGCGGCAAAGGCTGATAAGATTGCAGGAGAAATGACCAAGTAAGGTATCGAAATATTTGGAATATATGAAAGCAAGTAAAATGGAGGTGAATCCCATGAATTGTTAACCGAAAGATTAGTATCCTACTTTGGTTATCCAGATGATAACCGCAAAAACACTAAAGGTGTGGTTATCACTATGTTACCAACATCTGCAAAAGCTCTAATGCAGCAGGAGACAGTCTCACCCAGGACACTAACTACAAGATTCAACTCAAAAGGAAGGAAAGTTACTGCCATCCAATGCAACGCAACTGCAAACAACGCATAACAAGAGAAGAAGGAATATTTCTATAGACGACTACAAACACTAAAGAACAGCATCCCAAATGGCGACATCGAAAACCTTGTGAGTGATATGAATGCCAAAATGAGAGCAAATAATACAGAAAACTAATTCATCATGAGTCGATAGACTCTTGGCTAAATGAATGAGAACGAAGAACTTCCGTGTCTTCAATAACTTGGTGATTGCATGTTGGGTATACAAGCACGAGGATATACATACGACGATATTGGTTTCACTAGATGGACATACTAAAAATCATCTCAGTCTCAAGAAAATGTAGATACAGCCTGCTGGACACAGAATATAGGAGAGAAGAAGATGTTACCTTGGAAAATTACCTAGCACATGGATATTCCAAAGTCAAGCTGTAAGCCTTCAGAGAAGTTGGAGGTAAACCATGATTCAAGTTCAGCACTCAAGAAACTAAATGACAAAACTACAAAGGACACATCCTCTGCAGTCATCAGAGCAGAGTCAGAGACATTAAGTGACATTAACGAGAACACCTATGTGGGAAAACACTGGGACTGTCCGAAAGCGACATGAAAGGAAACCTGTATCGCCGCCTTAGAAAGGCAAAAGAGACTAGATAAGGAATAGCTGCCTGCAATTACCTGACGGGCTAACAGAAGAGAAGGATGTTGAAGCAGATGTATAATGACAGTGATAAACAACGAAAGGAGAAGCTGAATATAGCCTGCAGCTCACTGAACAACTGAATGATGAAGAATTCCGGGAAAGACAAAAGAAACTTTTACAATACACTGGCAAATGAAGCAGTACAGGTCACCGGTAAGAAGGACCTGAGAATACCTTATCGGATAACCAGGTCGTTATCCGGGTAGAGATCAATATATATGAATCCCGTCAAAGATTGTGAAGGAAACATAGTTACCAAGGAAGGAGAACAAAGAAAACGCTTTGCTGACCAATCCAAATGACTCTTGAATCGACCACCACCTATAATTAGTCTAAAACTACCAGCAAACAGAAACCCTTTGACAAAGACAGAAGTCTCGAATACCACAGAGATACTAAAAGATAATATTAAGGGGATAAGAAATAGCTGTTTTCTGTATTTACCCGAAAACTGCTCGTTATACTTCTCGAGTGAATTGGCCTATATGTTTTGACAGATGGTTTTAATGAATGTCTACACACTGCCCTCAGTCCTATCCTGATGTCACCACTACTAACTAAGATACAGATGAATCCAGATAACTCAACCTAGACAGGATGATATCAAGACACCTGGGTTTTCAATGCTAGTCACTACCGGCAACTAATGCACCCTTGACACAGATAAGTTTCAAAATAATTTCTAAGTGTAATAGGACAGAGTGAAAAATTTGATGGAGTAAGTGAACGACTGTTTTGTTGTTTTGTTTTGTTTTTTCCTTTCTTTTCTTTCATACTAATTCCCGTTGACAAGACAATAAGCACTATTATGCAGTTAAGTACATCAAAAGTGAAAATCGAAAAGAATGAACCAATAGAATCAAAGTACTTTATGAAGAAAAAAAAATACCAGTGTGTTTACACTTCTGATCATAGTTTGTTAACCTGCTGTTTGAGGTATCTTTGTGAACTACCTAATAATTATCAAACAATCTATACAGAATTTAAGAACAAACATCTGTCTTGTGATATATATAAATATATACAAAGAGAGAGAGTGGTTTAGCCTAAATTCTCCATTAACTCATAGGAACTACCTATCTTCATTATAAATGTTTGCAGCAGATTTCCTTGACTACTTGAATAAATTTCAACTAGACGCTACAACTGCTTCTCCAGAGGATTTTTCAGATAAACTTCACTTATTCACTTCATTATTATTTTTGATAAGTGCAATTGCAATCACACTGAAACAATATGTATTCAATAGTATCTCATGTTATATACCAGTACATCCAACTGGACAAGATTTCAATGCTTTTCTAGCTGATTATTGTTGGGTGCATGGAACTATTCCATTGCGTCCAAATGAACCTATGCCAAAAACATCTGCTGAATGGGAAAAATATGATAAACAAAGAAGAATATGTAAGTTTTGTGTTTGAATAGGTTTTCCTTCTTACTTTTGGTTAAATATCCTTCAATATGTGTAGGTGTAGGTTAGGAGTCATTCTGAGAAATTATGTCAGCGCTGAATCAATGTAGATTACTCATAAAGCTAATTTATCATCAAAAGAAAACCTTTCTGAATTCTTTGGAGGATTTCATCATGATCTTACATCGGTTGGCAGAACCATTGGAAAACTTGAGAGTACTGGGCAGCTGCTTCGGTAGCTCTAGTTTGAGACTCTTCAGAGTAGACCATTAAATCACTGGGACCCCATCCAATGGCGCATATAGGTCCTGGATTCCAGTCCTTCCACTTCCAAATTAGGACCACAGAAACAGCTGTCCAGTACTCCCATATTTTCCAGTGGTTCGCTAACTGATGTCAGCTCATAATGAAATCCTCCAACGAATCAAACAATGATCCCTACAAACCAATAATTCAGAATTTCTGAATTTTATATGGAGATCACTGAAACACCTATTTGATTTGATTTTTAAGTGTTTGTTTGCAGCGATTTGATTTGATTCAAGATTTCACCAGCTGACATCGGTTAGAGAATGCTGGAAAACCTGAGAATACTGGGCACCTGTTTCGTCCTAATTTGGGATTCTTAATAAGTACGCACCCACTGCCAAGGTTCAAACCCAGGACCTTCCACTTACGAAGTGAACTCCCAGACCATTAGGCCACTGGGACCTGATTCAACGATTCTCTAACTGTTGTCAGCTCATAATGAAATCCTGATTTAATTTTTATACTGGTTGACACTCACTAATAAGACATACATGCAGCTTCGATAAACTCGATATTTCCCTTGAGGTTCGAAGGTATTGGACTGGCTTTTTTCAGTCAATGTCTTTACTACTAAATTATTTCAAGCATGATTGATACTAATGATGAATTTTATCTAACCACGATGCACAGAAAGGTTGTGAGACGTATCTCAATGTGATCAATACATTTCGATCAACACTTAAGAATGGAGAGTAACTTCTATCCAGTAAGCAATTGATTTCTGTCTCTGTGCATCCTTTTTCTGTTTGCGAAATACAGATTATGATGTACTCATACTTCTGTTTTTTAGAAATTATTTTATCTTTATTCTAAATAAGTTTATGAATTTTAAATAGTTTAGAAGATTGATTAGCAAACTTTTGACTGATTATATCCACTTTAAATCAAGTAGATTTACAGTCAAATTATCAATGTAAGAATTAAGATAATATTAGATTAATTATTGAAGTGAGAATAAACATTTCAGAGAAGAGACTTTTCTCAGTGATTCCGTTCATTTCATTACAACTATTACAGGATTGTGCTCACACCTATTTTGTTTACTGTATTAACCTGTTACATAATATTATCTTCGTACTCATTTCTATGGTATTTCCATTAAGACCTAATTTTTTGGATAGTTTCTTTTGTACAGTTTGGTTTGTAAGGGTTAGTTTTGCTTTTACGAGTTGATCACAGATTGATATCACTTAAAGAACCATTGAAAACGAGAATGGAGTACTTACTGTACAGCTATTTCTGTGGTCCTAGTTTGGGAATAATCGGCAGTAGGCACCCACCAACGGGGTTCGGACCCAGAATCTTCCGGTTGCAAGGCAAGCTGGCTCGTGTACTATTCAGCCACTGGAACCCCATCCGATTCAATGGTCATTTCATGAATTCTAACTTCTATCAATTCGTAATTTAGTGCGACCCCAACTAATGTCGTAGGTTTCAGTGAGTTTTAGTGACAAGTCGTGACCAGTGAGGTCCATCCAGTCGAGTGTGAGGATGGATGTCCCACCAACGACATTGTTTGGGGTCGCGCTAAATCACGAATCGGTAGAAGTTAGAATTCACCCAGCAGGTGGGTGCATACTGCCGATGATTCCCAAACTCAGATGGTTTCTGTCGTGTTGTGTAAACTCTAGTCCAAACTGACTAATTTCCGCAGCCTTAGTTACATTCTAATTCATCTTCATTGTTCCCAAATGTTTTAATCATGTTGAAACGGTTGAAGACGAAGACTTTGTAAATTGGTATCTCTATACACGTCAATTATGTATAGTCCATCCAATCAAACACAAAATCCCTACAAAACCAATACTTGAAAATTATTCTGATGCTCACTAGTGACTGGCCCTATTCAGGCATTTACCTGGGGTTCTAGTGGGAAGCCGTAACCAGTAGGGTACAGCAGGTTGAAGATGAGGCAGTAACTCATCGAAGAAGACATTGCGAAATGGTCGCGCTATGTCGTGAATTGGCAGAAGTTAGAATTCATGGACTGGCCATTGGATCGGGTCCCAGTGGCTCAATGGTCTAAGAGCTCGCCTTGTAACCAGAAGGTCCTGGGTTCGATCTCCCTGTGGTGCGTGCGTACTGATGAAGAGTCCCAAACTGGGACGAAACAGCTGTCCAGTACTCCCAGGTTTTCCAATGGTTCTCTAACTGATGTCAGCTCATGATGAAATCCTCCATCCAATCAAACACAAACTCCCTACAAAACCAATACTTGAAAATTATGTATACCTTATCTTCAAGGGACCATTTGTACAGATCTTCGTGTTGTGGTACTTCTGGACTACACGTTGTGTTTCTTTGTGTTCCTTTCACTTCTCCAATGTATCTCCACACCGCTGTATCATTTGCCCTCTCTGACATCAAATGTGTCGCCTTGCTACTTGGTGTTCTATACCGATGAACGTCTCTTTATATACTACTGATAAATCGTATCAGCAGCACCTACCACAATGTGACCGATACTCCAAACTGATCCTCTTTTTTTTACTATGTTTTATTTAATTGTGATTGATAAGGTATGCTAGAGAAATCGTTGGAAAGAACCTCTTTGTTGAACTATTGGTTCTTACTTCTATGACTAAACGAGTCTGTTTTGGACCTAACGAACTGATCCTGAATGTCTGAATGACTGTCAGATGTCACCTTTTACCAGATCATATTTGTTTTTGTTTATAGCTTGATTCCACACAGTGCTTTGGTACAAGTATGCAATTTTCAGCATGGATATCGGTTGCCCAAATTTTGCAGGTCGACCATAGATATCAGGACCATGTGCATGGTCGGCGAGTGTCCTAACCTCCTTGCCACGAACCCATAGAGAATATTATTCAACTGTCGTGATTATATTCATAAACAGATATAAGAAGATACTGTATTTTCTAAGTCATAGGATAGAATAAGACTTAAATTTATGCCAATTAGTTTTTGAAAACAGATTTAAATCTATGAGCATAATGAATAAAGTTTTAATAGTCTAAACCTCAGTATTCTCAAGACTAATGACTTTCTAATCTATTAAAATTCTACTTTACGAAGCAAACTTTAAGGCCTAACTGCTTTGCAGTTCCCTCTTCGGTTTCAGGTAATGACAAGTTTACAGAATAGTGAAGCCAGAATATGAAAATTAGCTCGACATGGTGGCCTCATAAATTGAACCCTACGTCTACATTCTACAACAGTATAGGCTTTTATTGAATTGAATTTTTGATTTTCCCGTCGATTGATTGGACCGAAGTGTTCGGTCTCAGGTTGACATGTCGGCTTCTTGTGCAGATGCCTCGACGATGTCTGGGGATTTGATTTGTATACAATTGGTGGATGGTGGCTAGCAGTGGAATCCAGGATGCGCATTTCGTCCTGATTGGGACGCTTTGGCGTTTGAAACTATGGGCACTGGGTTCGAGCCTCGGTGGGAACATCATCACTCACTGAGAAATGCAGGTACATCCAGCTGACGAGTCCCAATCAGAACGAAATGCGCATCCTGGATTCCACTGCTAGCCACCATCCACCAATAGTATAGGCTTTTCTTCAACTTTACTTACTATCCAGTTGTAGTGAGACCATTTATCACAAGTCCGTTTGATCTGGTCACTTTAGTGATGATTTGAAATCGGGAAGATGGAAACGTTTAAACTGAGCCAGTTGTCACTCAATTCGTCTTTTATTTGTTTGTTTATTACAGGGGATAGTATCTTATTGTCACAATACTAACTTACTAGAAATCCTTACCTGGTATTGCTAGGATATTATTGGTCACGAAATAAACAATAAAGTAAGACCCATCCTAAGCGGGTTAAATATGATGTTCATTTTTCTTGTCAAGTATTCTTCCCATGATGATTTTCGAACTTTTCAAACTTCAGTAAATATCTTACGTTTCACCTACTGAGTAACAACAACATTTGCCTGTCGGCGGGTATGTTTTTTTTGTTCTTTTTCGTTCTGAGTGGAACAAAAGGTCTCAAGCTTCAAAGTTTCAGTGACAGTGGTGTTGTCGTTACGGACTGGAGAAGCTAGTCTCGTGACAAACCGTCCATCCCTTTCGAACTTACTACTGCCTAGTAAAATAGGTGATGTGTCGGATTTCTTCAGTCGTGATTCGAACCCTGAGCTCCCTCGTAGCAGACCCACCACTCTATCATTAAACCAACAACACATGCTCTGGTAATCTATAATGAATTGTTAAAAATTTTAACAAAATGGTTAAAATAAAATATTTTTGTTGACGAACTTTAATTAGTTTAAAGTGCTCGTCTTATTTCTTTGTAATGTCAATCAAAATGTTTGATGATAATATCAGCATGCAATAACCTGGTACGAACACTTTGTCAAACGCTTTAGCCTTATCTACTAAATACGAAAACATAGTCTTAAGTTTACATTATTCGACCTTGCATCATTTCTAAGCTCAAGATATTCTGTTAGTGTAGTGTCTACTAGCACATACTGCATGTTACAAGTCGTGTATATGTGTAAACACTTTCTCTTATGACATATCTTACTGACTCATTCAGACCTGAATAGCAATGACTCTGCAGTAATTCATCTTTCCCAAAGTTACTTTGAGTAAACCGTCTATCTAACTCAAAAAGTGGCAGATTACTAAGTAAATTCACAAAACAATAGAGACCCAGGAAAATAGGCAATATCTACCTGATACTGTGCATTTCAGCTTTTGTTTTGTTATCCATTACAGGAAATTTATGTTTACACGGTCTTCACGGCAAATACACTCATATCATCTTTCGGAAGTTTGTTCAGTAAATAAATATGCTGGATCATATGTAACAACTCAGAATGTTGCTTTACTCAATTTAGTTACATTCCAATTAATCTTCACTATCGCGATATACTCTTATGATGTGAAAGATAATCCCAACTGTCAGTGCTGGTAAACATTGAATCGTTTGTTTATTCGAACTGGTCTCCATACTGGCGGGAGACAAGAAGGCTGTCATTGCTTAATTGTATACTGGTTGGTAGACGATTGGAGAAATACCATCAGAAGTATTGTTGTACATTATATTAACGTTTATTTACAGACTTTGGTACTGATAAACCATTGTAAATCTGTTTCGTTATCACCAGAAGAATAAATAATCGTCTTGTCCAAACGTTTTCTGTTGTTCTGCGTCCGTCATAGTGCATAGTGTGCTGCTTATTAAGCTTAGTCCTCTGAAACCAGCGACGTGTCCAGGACCTCTGAGATCTGGATATTTAACAGTTTCTGATCGTATTTCTCCAATCTTCTGACAACTAGTAGACAATTAAGTAATGGCAGCCTTCTTGTCTCCCAACAATGCAGACCAGTTCGAAAAAACAAACTATTCAATGTTCAGTTCCATAAAAAATAGTCATAAGAACTGATGTTGACACATTTAGTTTTGTTCATCTTTTAGTCATGTCACAAATTTACTTAAACTAAAAATGTTAGCTGAAGTCTCATTAATTTTTCTACAGTAAAACATTAGTCAGCTCTAGTGAGGTGATTACATGTCGCATCAATTTTTTGAAGTGGCACTATCTCCATCCGGTAGGTATTAGTGCATTTCAATCAATAGAACAAAAATATACCAGCGTAATT